GATGAAGAAGAGAAAGGTTTGCAAATGCATATGACACTGAGCTAAAGGGGTCAGTGCAGCCTGCAGAAGCATAACCCTATTTGTACACTTGAGCATGGCCTAAGGGAACATTGGCCTGATGAATGCAGAGGGATGCATTTTGATCAAGATAATTTCCCTTAGATGGGTCTCAGCATTCCATGAATCAAACCCTGTCAGCAAGGAACTAAAGATGGAGTGAAGTTTATTGTAAATTTGTTTTTCATGCAACACCTTCACGCTAGAAGGGTCAAGTGAGAAAAATCATTAGAACTGTGTTTATTTACTGGGCCTGTTGTGCACTTTCCCTGCAGGGCAAGAACAAAGGAGGCTTTAGGAGGGGAGTTGAGGGGCACTGAGTGGTGAGGGAAGAACAGGCATGCACAAAATAAACCCTCACTGGTTTCTGCATGAGAGGATTGGACAGGCTGTTTATAGGGAGTGGGAAGTGGGACTGACTGGGTTTTTCCCCCCTAGAACTCCTGGTAGATTTGGAGCAGATGCTCTGCTAGAATCTCCAGGAGAGGCACCAACAGTCTGATTAAAAGGGAAGCTCATGGCCGGGCCAAGCTGGCTCATTTGGTTGGACTTGTCATCCTGTGTACCAAAATGTTTTGGATTCAGTCCTTGGTCAGGGCATATACCTAGGTTGCGGGTTCAGTCCTAGTTGGGGCACATACGAGTGGCAATCGATTGATGTTTCTCTCTCTCTCCCCCTTTCTTTCTCTCTAAGAAAATCAATAAATATATCTTTGGGTGAGGATTTTTAAAAAAAGGAAGCTCATGGGGAAATCTCTTATACTATCCCTAGTGGCTAGAGAAGTATATTCTCCCCTCCCTCCATTCTTTTTCCTCCCTTGTCTTTGCCTAACCTTTGAGCTCAGAAGGAAACACGGGAAATTTAATTTAGAAATCAAAATTCCCATTTCTGGGTCTAGCAAAATAGGGAACTAGAATAAAGGTTGTTCCACACATTCTGAATATAGATTTGTGGAGAGTGGCCCCAGGGTTTGTGCTGAGAGAATGGCTGGATTTCAGGTAGCATCACCCTCTCTGATTGGAATTTACTGAAGTACCCTTAGCATTGAATTAAATGAAAGAAAGTACATAGTGTGGTAGTTTAGCAGGGTATGGCGTAGTCTTGCCTCTCCCCAAGAAGAATATGGAACATTCTTTTCATTTCCCTTAAAACTCCAGCTTGGCCTGGAAACTTAGTGAAGTGGAGATACTTTATCCAGAATATTCTCTAGAGGCTCTTGTTTTGAAATTTCCATTTATATCCCTTATTTACTTTTACATTAGTGGTGGTAGACGAAACTTTTCCTAACTTAGGTAAGGGAAAATGGAAACCCTCTTTTAATTTTTTTTTATTACATACAGTTCAGTAGATGGAATAATCAGTAAGCCAAAATTAGAAGCAAATTTGGTTGAGAAAAATCTTTAGTATAAGATGACTAATGACAGTCCTTTCCTTAGATCCCTGCATAGTTATAAAGTGGAGGTATTTGGCCCTGGCTGGTGTGACTCAGTGGATTGATCCCCGGCCTGCGAACCAAAGGGTTGTTGGTTCAATTCCCAGTCTAGGGCACATATCTAGGTTTCAGGCCAGGTCCCAGTAAGGGGCGCATGAGGGGCAACCACACATTAATGTTTCTCTCCCTCTCTTTCTCCCTCCCTTCCCAGGAACTCTGTCTAAAAATAAATAAATGAAATCTTTAAAAAATAATAATAAAGGGGAGGCATTTGGTATGATAGAAAGGGAATAGGATCCTAGCATTGACTCAGGTTATTTGAGTGATATGGAAGTCATTGAAATAGTTCACAACTACTTTTATCTAAGCATTGTACTAATGCTTATCCCATGGGAATTACGCACTTCTTCCACTCTACTACCATTGTTGTAAAGAAGTGTATGTGAGATACCTGAGGTGGTTAAGTTAGGAAAGTGGCTAAAATGCCCTGAGTTCCATTCCTGCCACTCCCACTTCCGCTGTAAGACTATTTGTGAAACTTTGGGCAAATTACATAATCTCTGAGCCTTAGGTTTCTTGTCTATTAAATGGCGTTAGTCATAGTGTCTCCCTGCTATGTATGTTACAGTACCTACTGTTTTTAAGATTGCTGTAAGAAGTAAATGAGATACTGCCTGTAAAGAACATGTAGTACCTGGCACATAGTAAGCATTCAAATATTAGTGGCTATAATATATTATGATTATTAAAGACAAGATACTTCTTTTTTTTTCTAGAACGGCACGATGTTTTATAGTAATTTAGATTATATTAATTATGTAGCCACTATGGATTTGCTGATGATTGTAATGAAAAAGGCAGAAAAACTATGTAGGCTATTTTCGGTTCTAGTTATTAGTAGAATATAATTAAGTGATAACTCATATGTAGAATTTTTAAGTCCTTCATAACCACCAGCCTTTCCTAGCTCCTTTCATACTCACTAGAACGCAAGTGCAGCAAAAGGGAGAAAATAAACATGTTTCTCAAGCCGAAAGAACTCTGAGTAGATTGAAATGAGTGAAATAAGGTGAGTCAAAGAACCAGCTAAGAGAGAGATGCTCTGCACCTTTCCAAGCATCCAAGAGACTCATGATGCCTGCCCTGTAACTGGAGACAGTGTTTTAACTCCCTGAATTGGGATTGAAGCTGGCCATTCTCCTAGAGCTGTTTTAAAGTAGTAGTAGACTGAGCTGTTACTATTTACACCCTATACTGTTCAATTCCCATCAGAACCTAAAACCTGCCATTTTATTTATCCCACTTTAACAGATATCTTTTCATTTTCCATCTTCCCTTCACACTTTACTGCCAGTAATCAAAAGCCCAGCTCTACAATTGGTAAACATCTAAACTCAGGTGGGCTCCAGGGGTGTCGTATCTCTCCCCCACCAACCCTTTCCCTGAACTTGGCATTCCTGACAAAGAATCTTTTCTCGTGTACATCTCAAGAGACCCTCTACTCCATACACACATATCCACCCACACTATGGGCCAGTATAGTTTCTTTGATAACCAGCATAAGGTTGGGTCAAAAGATTTCAAACAATTTTTTTTAAAAAATTGATTTTAGAGGGTTGGGGGGGGAGGAACGTCAGTTTGTTGTTCCACCTATTCATGCATTCATTGGTTGGTTCTTTTTCTTTTCTTAAGATTTTATTTATTTATTTTTAGAGAGAGAGGAAGGGAGGGAGAAAGGGGGAGAGAAACATCAATGTGTGAGAGATACATCAATCAGTTGTCTCTCGCACATCCCCAACTGGGAACCCAGGCTGGAATCAAGGCATGTGCCATGACTGAGAATAGAACTGGCAACTTTTTGGTTCACAGGTCAGCACTTAATCCACTGAGCCATACCAGCTAGGATTAAAAACTGGGATTCTTACTTAAATTAGTTCAAAGTTATATTTAAGAATTTAATTGTGCTGACACCGTGACAAACCAAAATGTAGGGTTGGATTTGATTTTCAGTTTTCTTTTCAATATCCAATACTCATGGATTAAATTCTGGAAATGTTTCAGTTGTAAGGAAGGGATCTATTTGGATTCCACCATGGATATGCTCCTTGGGGTTGGATGCTGGAGGGTGAAGCATATTTTGCCAAACCCATGTCAACTAGTAGTCATTAAGGTAAAAAAATTCATCTCCATTCCTTGGCAATATACTCAGTACTGCAAGATACCTCCAATTCCACCACATCCTTTCACAAGTTGGGGATCTTTCTTGTGACTTATCTGTGGTAATTTCCATTCTAGTTCCAAAATTTTTATAGTTGTTAGCAAACCATTCCAGTGGGGGCATGATTTCAATTGGTTCCTGTTCTCATCCTGTCTCTTTGTCCATGAAATGAGATTTATCCTTTTCTTGTTCTGGAGTTAAATAGAGAATTTTCTCCTCTATGTCCTGGCTGGCTTTATTAAAGTATTGTCCTATTAATATTTTCTTTTGAATGAATTTGACATTGGCAAGGACTTTAGTAGATAACTCAATGGTTTGGTTGAATCCATTTTCACCTCCTTAGGATATATCCGCTAATTTTAAAACTTTTGGTTGCAGCCTCTCATCAAACATAACATTGGCTCAGTTCATTTTCAAAATGAAACCAGCCACATTCTTTGTCCCTAGAAATAAATAGCTGCACAGTAGTCTCAGCTACTTTCCGACATGTCTCTTTTCCATTCTTAAATGGGCAAAATGCAAGGCTGACTGACCTCTTCCATGTTTCTTTGGAAGATCCACAGTGAATATGTGCAGAACTTCTCTTGTATTTCCTTGGAGTGTGCCAAAAAGTGCACCACTACCATCTATTAAAATGAATCCAAATTTTCTGGTATCTGACAGTTGTACTATAAGAGCCTCTGTGTGGAATTTGTTGCCACACAAATATTATAAGACATTAATCAGTTTCAGAAGTTCTAAGTCAGTGTTGACTTTCTTTTCCTTTCCTCCTCCTGTTACAAAATTGTACCACAGTAAACAACCAGGCCATTTGGAGGTGTTTTGTTTTAACGTTTGAGTCTTTGTTATACAGATGCAATGTCTCCCAGGCTGTGTACCTGAGTAACTTAATGTTACTCACAGTTCCTGCATTTGCTAACATTTTTGCCATTGGTGAAATCTGCTCTTTGGGAGGAATGATCACTGTATGACGCCTGTGCCATTGCTAAGGGCCGCTTCCAAGCTTTTACTTAATCAGCTTCTTGATCTTCTCTATCTCCATGTTCCTGTCAGCAACACGGGTCAAACACCATCTTTGAGCCCCTTCTTAAAATAAAGTTTTTAGTTATTTTAGGGACAGCATGCTTTATGTTAGCTTATTCAGTTTCTTATCTATTTTTTTTTTCTATTTGTGTGATCCTTAGTTCTTAATATAAGATTGGCCGTATTGTGATCCATAAATTATAGTTAACTCCCATTTCTCTTGTGAATGGAGGCTAGCTTGTTTCAACCCTTTCTTTGTCCCTGAGCAGTCTGAAGATGATGAGAAACTGAAAAAGAGGAAGGAGCGATTTGGAATTGTCACAAGTTCAGCTGGAACAGGAACCACAGAGGATACAGAGGTAAAAATATACATAAATGCTTAGAAGGGAAATGAAGGTGAACACACTTGAGTGGGGAGAGACAGTTACTTCCCCAGCCTACTTTTTAAGTGCCCAAATGACAAAATCTTTTGTCCTTGCTCGATAGCTGTTTTCTGAATGAAGTAGCCATAGAATTGTATTGATACACTTTATTTAGTGTTAGAACCAGTTAGTCTAGTAGGAAGGAGTGCAGGATTTGAAATCAGATAAGCTTGGATTTGAAAAGTGGCTCAGCCACTTAGTATTACAGTAATACTTAAGGTTATGGTACTTTTCTTGTTGTTGTTTTAAGGTTTTATTTATTTTTAAAGAAAGGGGAAAGAAGGGGGAGGGGGAGAGAAACATCAATGTGTGGTTGCCTCTCATGCACCCCCCACTAGGAACCTGGCCTGCAATCCAGGCATGTGCCCTGACTAGGCATCGAGCCGGCGATCCCTTGGTTCGGAGGCCAGCGCTCAATCCACTGAGTCACACCAGCCAGGGCTATGGTACTTTTCTTAGGTTTAGCATCTGGAATGTAGAGAGTAATACCTACTTTGAAGTAACATCTTAAGCACGAAATGTTTCTACATAAAAAAAGAATGATTCTAGGGAGAATGCTTGACATGATGACATCTGTCATACTTGAGTATTCACTAAGTAGTGATGTCGCTGGTAATTTGCCAGGCATATTTCTTTGACCATTTAATGAAGGCTGTATCCGACCCAGGCACACGTATAGTTGTGCCTAACTCCCCTCTGCAATAGGACAATGGACTCAAGTGAGATGTTCTTTTCTTATCACTTTATTTACAAATAGTTTCTCATTTTTGATTTCTTTGTTTAAATTTTTCAAATTATATTTTATTGATTATGCTATTATAGTCATCCTGATTTTTCTTCCTCTGCCCTATACCCCCACTCCCTCAGGCAATCCCCCTCAACATTGTTCATGTCCATGGATCATGCATATAAATTCTTTGACTACTCCATTTCCTGTACTGTACTTTACATCTCCATGGCTATTCTGTAGCTACCTATTTGTACTTTTTTCTTTTTTCAATTTTAGAGGGAGGGGAAGGGAGGAAGAAAGGGAGAGAAAAATCAGTGTGTGAGAACTAGGCAACTGAGGCATGTACCCTGACTGGGAATCAAACTGGTGACCTTTCAATCCACAGACCTGGATTCAGTCCATGAGCCATACCAACCAGGCCCCTATTTGTATATCTTAGTGCTCTCACCTCTTCCCTGATAACCCAGTCCCATCTGGCAACCGTCAAAATGCTCTTCGTATGCATGATTTTTTAAAATTTAATCTTTATTATATTTTTTCCCATTACCGTTTAGTCCCCTTATATCACACTGTTGTCCATGTCCATGAGACCTTTTTGTTTTTTGTTTAATCCCTTGGTTATGTAACCTCCCCACCCCATATCTGTGATTCTGTCTCAGTTTTTCATTGCTTAGTTTGTTTTCTAGATTCAGTTATTGATGGATATCTATTGTTGCCATTTTATTGTTCATAGTTTTGATCTTGTTATTTTTCTTAAGTCCCTTTAACATTTCATATAATACTGGTTTGGTGATGATGAACTTCTTTAGTTTTTTCTAGTTTAGGAAGCACTTCATCTGCTCTTCAATTCTAAATGATAGCTTTTCTGGGTAGAGCAGTCTTGGCTATAGGTCTCTGCTTTTAATGACTTTGATGATCTCTTGCCAGTCTCTTTTAGCCTGCAATGTTTCTTTTAAGAAATCAGCTGACAGTCTTATGGGGACTCCCCTGTAGGTATCTAACTTCTTTCTCTTCCCACTTTTAAGGTTCTCTATCTTTTAACATTTGGCATATTAGCCCTGGCTGGTGTCGCTCAGTGGATTGAGCGCGGGCCTGTGAACCACACGATCGCGGTTCGATTCCCAGTCAGGGCACATGCCTGGGTTGCAGGCCGGTTCCCTGCAGGCCAGTTCCCAGCAGGGGACGCACAAAAGGCAACCATACATTGATGTTTCTCTCCCTCTCTCCTTCCCCCACTTCCCCTCTAAAGATAAATAAGTAATAAAATATTTAAAAAAAAAACATTTGGCATATTAATTATATATATGTCTTGGAGTACTTTGCATCCATGTTCTTCAGGACTCTCTCTGCTTCCTGCACTTGCATGTCTGTTTTCTCCACCAAATTAGGGATTTTTTTCCCCCATTATTCTTTCAAATAGATTTCCAGTTTCTTGCTGTTTCACCACTTCTGGCACCCATATGGTACGAATGTTGGACCTCTCGCAGTTTTTCTACAGGCTGCTTATGCTATCCTCGTTTTCTTGGATTCTTTTTTTTGTCCTTTTAAAAAAATTTTTATTGATTATGTTATTACGGTTGTTCCATTTTCCCCTCTTTATTCCCCTCTGCCCTGTACCCCCTTCCCACTCTCATTTGTTCACCTAGGTCCATGGGTTATACATATAAGTTCTTCAGCTTCTCCATTTCCCATACTGTTCTTATGCCCCTCCTGTCTATGTTGTACCTACCATTTGTGCTTCTTATTCCCTGTACCTTTTCCGCCATCCACCCCTCTCCCCCTCCCCGCTAATAACCCTCCATGTGATCTCCATTTCTGTGATTCTGTTCCTGTTCTAGTTGTTTGCTTAGTTTGTTTTTGTTTGTATGTCCAGTTGTTAATAGCTATGAGTTTGTTGTCATCTTACTATTCGTATTTTTTTTTATCTTCTTTTTCTTAGATAAGGCCCTTTAACATTTCATATAATAAGGGCTTGGTGACGATGAACTCCTTTAACTTGACCTTATCTGGGAAGCACTTTATCTACCCTTCCATTCTAAATGAAAGCTTTGCTGGATAGAGTAATCTCGGATATAGGTCCTTGCCTTTCATGACTTTGAATACTTCGTTCCAACCCCTTCTTGCCTGTAAGGTTTCTTTTGAGAAATCAGTTGCTAGTCTTATGAGAACTCCTTTGTAGGTAACTGCCTCCTTTTCCCTTGCTGCTTTTAAGATTCTTTCCTTATCTTTAATCTTGGGTAATGTTATTATGATGTGCGTTGGTGTATACTTCCTTGGGTCCAACTTCTTTGGCACTTTCTGAGCTTCCTAGAAGTCTGTTTCCTTTGCCAGATTGGGGAAGTTCTCCATTATTTTTTCAATCAAGATTTCCATCTCTTCTCTTCCTCCTCTTCTTCTTCTTCTTCTTCTTCTTCTACTTCTCCTATGATTTGGATGTTAGAACATTTAAAGTTGTCCCAGAGGTTCCTAAGCCTCTCCTCATTTTTTTTTTAATTCATGTTTCTTCATTCTGTTCTGGCTGAATGTTTATTTCTTCCTTCTGGTCCAAACCATTGATTTAAGTCAACAGTTTCCTTCCTGTCACTGTTGGTTCCCTGTATAGTTCCTTTATTTCACTTTGCATAGCCTTCAACTTTTTCCTCTATTTTGCGACCATGCTCAACCATTTATGTGAGCATCCTGATTACCATTGTTTTGAACTGTGCATCTGATAGATTGGCTCTCTTCATTGTTTAGTTTTATATTTTCTCTGGAGCTTTGATCTGTTCTTTCATTTGGGCCTTTTGGGGGGGTCTCTGAACAACTGTTAGTAGTAAGGGCTGGAGCCTTAAGTATTTGAGTTGGTGGGGCAACTCACATCGCTGTGTTGTGGAGGCATATGAGGGGAAGGGTCTGAGAGGGAACAGTGCCAGTTGCTTAGCTCTTGGCCAGTTTTCAGTCACTTCCCCTCCTACTGACTAGCAAATTGGGCCCTTCTGGTGCTGATTCCTGGGTGGGTGGGTTTGTGTACATCTTAGGACCCTGTGGGTCTCTCTAACAAACTCTCCTGTGAGGCTGGGAGTTTTTCCCAACACTGCAACCCCCACAGGTTTTTTCATTCGGTTTTGACGCTTTCCTGCGCTGGAACTCTGAGTTGCACAGATGGTCTGTCTTGCTCCCCAGTTGTTTTTCCTGGTTTATCTTACAGAAATGTGGGACCACCTGGTTGCTAGCCTTTACTTCACCTGCTGAGGTCCTCCAACCACCGCCACCACCTTGCCACATGTCCTCTCCACCCTGGCTGCCCATCTCCACCTCTACTACCACTGTGGAAGAATGTTTCTTCTTTAACTCCTTGGTTGTGGGACTTCATACAGTTCGATTTTCTGATTGCTTTTTGTTTTTAAATTTGTTGTTGTTCTTTTAGTTGTGTGATGAGCACAATGGATCTACCTTCTCCTCCATCTTGTCTGAAAGTCTCAGAATCTCTTTTCTTCTGATCTGATTAGTTGTTTCTTGCTTCCTTATATTCCAAATCATTGATTTGATTCTTGGCTACATCCACTCTACTGTTGTTTATCTGTAAATTGTTCTTTTTTTATTTTTTTTAAGTTTTTTTTGTTTTGTTTTGTTTTGTTTTTTTCATTTTTAGATGGGAAGAGAGGGAGAAAAACATCAATGTGTGGTTACCTCTTGCACGGCCCCTACTGGGGACCTGGCTCACAACCCAGGTATGTGCTCTGACTGGGAATCAAACCAGCAACCTATTGCATTGCAGGCCAACATTCAATCCACTGAGCCACACCAGGCAGGCAGTTGTTCCTTACTTCAAATAGAGTATCCTTCGTTTCTGACTAGATCTTTTTTGTGCCATTGAGGTCTTCACTAAATTCCTTGAGCATCCTTATAAGCACTGTTTTGAACTCCGCATCTGATAGATTGCTTATCGCCATTTCATTTTTATGGAGTTTTGATCTGTTCTTTTATTTGGGCCATATTTCTCTATCTCCTCATTTTGGCAGACTCCCTGGATTTGTTTCTGTGTGTTATTAGTACAGCTGCTTTGACTCCATGTTTTGGTAGTGTGGCCTAAGGTAGTAGGTGTCTTCTCGGGGTTCATTGTCACAGTCTCCCCTATCACCCAAGCTGGGTACTTAAGGTATGCTTTTTGTATTGGCTGAGTATATCCTCCTTTTTTTTTTTTTTTTTTTAAGATTTTATTTACTTATTTTTAGAGGGGAAGGGAGGAAGAGAAACATCAGTGTGGGGTTGCCTTTCATGTGCTTCCCACTGGGGACCTGGCCTATACAATCCAGGCATGTGCCCTCACTGGGAATTGGACTGGCAGCCCTTTGGTTTACAGGCCGGCCCTCAATCCACTCAGCCACACCAGCCAGGGCCACTCTCCTTTTGTAGTTGAGTCTTGGTTGCTGTTGGGAGATCACTGGGAGGGATTTACCCAGGCCTGTCAGCTCCAAGGACTGGCTGTGACCACCGACCACCACCTCTGCCCTCTGTGGTGGATGTACTGTTCAGGGACAGGGTGGTAGTAGTACAGCGTGCTCTGTAGCTATCCACTGGGTGCACTAGCTCTTGTGTTTCCTCGGTGGTGCAGGCTAAGGTCAACCACCACCTTTGTTTTGCGTCAGGGCCACCCTTCCTGAGCTATAAAGCAATCTGGTATGGTTGCTACTTGTGCTGGGCTTGGAGATTCCTAGGAGAAGCCAAGCTGTGAGTCTAGGCTGGCTGTTGCTACTGCTGGGTCTGAGGCTCACTGAGGCTTGTTTGGGAGGACTTAGGAAGTTGTGAAGCATAAGCCAAGACCAGCCATTCATATGGAAAAGCAGCTTCAGTGGGGTGGAGTCTTAGGAGATCTCCAGAGTGGGTCAAATAGTGTTAGTAAGGTTGATGGAATCTCAGATATGGCATCTGCTTGCTGGTTTTATGGCTCCATGGCCGTGTTGTGGAGGGTTTAGAACATGGGCAGTGGCCTCTGCTTGCCTTGATGCCAGACACTTCAGTTTTTCACAGTATGGCACCATGCCTTTCAAGCTGAAACTCAGAGGGAGTAAGTCTGACTAGGTGAGTCTGTGGGTGGGTTCTTTACAAGGATCTGCTTGGGCTCCAGAAGTTCGTTCCACAGAACCAATCCACACTGGTTTTTGCAGCCAGAAGTTGTGGGGACTTATCTTCCTGGCACTGGAACCCTGGGCTGGTGGTCCTGGTGTAGAGCTGGGACTCGTTGCTCTCAATAACCTTCCCAGGTTTTTATCTACCATGTGTGAATGTGGGACTAGCCCGTTTCCATGTCTGCACTCCTCCTACCAAACTGGATGGATGTGGTTTATTTAATTCTGTAGTTGTCAAGACTTCCATTCAACTCAATTTCAGATGGTTCTGAGTATAGTTGTTCTATATTTCAATTGTAATTTTAGTTGTGCGAAGAGGCAAGCCATGTCTGCCAATGCTGCCATCTTGACCCAAGTCTCTCCCCCCTACCCCCTTTCTTAAGACTTGTGTTCATTCACATCCCAGCTTCCTCTGGAGTAACTCACATTCACTGAGACTCTCAAACATTGGAACACTGCTTAGAACATTGATAGATAATATTGATTTGCTGATTTGAAGACCAGTTGGGTTGGCCAAAAAGTTCATTTAGTATTTTCTGTTAGATGTCTCTAGTATTGCTTTAAAGACTTCATTCAAAACAATTTTGTTAGATATTATTGTGACAGCTGTCATATCAGTGTGCATTGTTTTTTAAATATTTTATTTACTTTTTTCTTTTTTTTTCTTTTAGAGGGGAAGGAAGGGAGAGAAACATCAGTGTGTGAGAGATACATCGATCAGTTGCCTCTCACACACCCCCTACTGGGGACCTGGTCTGCAACCCAGGCATGTGCCCTAGACTGGGAATTGAAATAGCAACCCTTTTTCTCAGGCCAGCACTCAGTCCACTGAGCCACACCAGCTGGGGCTCAGCATGCATTTTTAAAAGCAGATGTTTAGCAGCAGCCCTGGCCTCTACCCAGTAGAAGCCAATTGTGAGAGATAATTGACATACTCAAAATACCAAATCAGTCCTGGCTGGTGTGGCTCAGTGGATTGAGTTACCAGCCTTCAAACCAAAGGGCCGCCGTTTCAATTCCTGGTTAGAACAGTGGCGTGGGTTGCAGTTGCAGGCCAGGTCCCCAGTGGCGGGGGGTATGCCACAGGCAACCACACATTGACGTTTCTCTTCCTCTATTTCTCCCTCCCTTCTCCTCTCTCTGAAAACATAAATAAAATCTTAAATAAGGAAATATGCTTCTTATTTTATGGAAAAAAACTAGACTTTTTGGCCAACTCAATATACTGGAGACCATTTGTCACCTGACGTGTGTAGGAATGTTTGAAATAATGGAGATTTTGAATTATAAATACTTTTTGAGTGGTGAGGAATTTGAAATGTTCTTTCTCTCATTTAATCCAAATTTACTTTCTTTTTTTCCCTTACCTCTGGAGATATCTTCTGAAAATTTATTACTTCACACACTCAAAATCTTAAGAAGTTTCTTTGTGAATAATAAAAATAAAATAAACCTTGAAAATTTTAGAGTCTGTTTCGTTTACATTCCTCACTAGGAAAAACTAGAGGAGTTTGTGTTTTTGCCCTAATTCAGAATAAATCATTATCTGTTGTAAATATCTGCTTAGTTAGTAACTAGCCAGGATGAACTAGAAGTAAACCATAAACCTAGGTGTGTGTTAATTCTAGTTAAAATTACTCCCTTTTTCCCAAGGAAACTGTTAAACTAGACATGCTCACTAAGCTGGTACATTTGTTCTCTCCAAGATAAGACAGATTTGTTGGGTGGCAAGGAATATCAGCTTTTGTTGAGAGACTCCATATATGTTAGGAAGAAGTAGCTTCTGAGGCTAATGGAGTTTATGTGAACCAGATGACTTTCCTTTGATTCCAAAGAATTGTGTTAATAATCCTCCTTGAGTGGTCTGGGTCTGTAAACACTTGGCTTTTCTTTTTAATCTAAATTAAACCTCCTGTGTGAATGGAATGAAAAAGAAACCCCCCTTTGCTGGGGCAGTGGTTGGAGGAAGGATGGATTGATTCAGTTCTGTTCGAGTCTGTCTTAGAACAAAAAGGTCTTTCCTTACCCCATTTTGTACCCTCAAATGCTTCCTCCCTTAAGAGATCCATGTTAGGGACTCCCCCCTCTCCCCATTTATTATGTTGATATATTATGCCTCTTTGGATTTGGAGAACTAAGGAATAGCTGCTGCATGGGCCCAGAAGGGCATTCCCCTCACCTCCACAGCATAGGCCAGCGCTTTGTCCACTGAAATCTTCCGTCTTCCCACTGAGTAGAAGACTTTCCCCAGCCTGTTAAGAGTCCATTGTTGCTACAAGGCTGAGTGGCCTTCTCTCCTTCAGGAATCTATCCATTTTCTGCCACTGTTTTCCTGCCCCCGCCCCCTACAATTTTCTACCTTTTTCCACCAAACTTCCCCCAGCTCTAACTGGATAACAGGAAAAATTCAGGAATGAAATCTTTGGCTGCCAAGCTTAAGCCTGGGCCTTTCCTCCTTCTTGGACCTTGTGACAATCCATGTGAGTTTAGATTAAAGCAGCCAGGAACCCAGGCCACTATCATCTTGCAATCTAATTCTTTTTCTTCTTGCTTGTTCCTTATAGGCAAAGAAGAGGAAAAGAGCAGAACGCTTTGGGATTGCCTGATGAGAAACTCCATGTTTTCTGTTCTCCAGTGGTTTCCATCTCTCTGATTCTTCTTGGTCACATACATACCTAAACACACAGTTTTGTGCCTAGGTCCTGCCTCGCATTAAGAGAGCATGTACCCTGGGTGCACTGATGAATACAGTAGCAGTTTGACTTCTTGCTGTTCCAACTTTAAGATTGTTGTTGTTGTTTTTTTAATTATTTTGCTTGTTAATAAAAAATAGAAAAGAGAACAATGTGTTTTATTAGGTGCTATTTTGAGTTCTTAGATACAGATTGGATTAGATATGGGGAACTTCAGGGACAGATAAACAGAGTTAGTTATAATGCCTTTTTAACCACTAAAAAAAAGGATAAGGAAAAGGATTGAGTCCATCCCTTTAAGCCTATTTATATTCTCATATTCACAGGTATTCTTTTACCACTTTATCCTCCATGAAGAGGCCAGGTTTCACCCTGAGACTTTGCTTTGGCAGGTTCATGTGACCCATTGGGATGAAATAGGGAGAACACTGTGGGTTTTAGGAGTTGCAAAGGATTTAAATATAAGGACTAATGACTGGTATTCTGTTATATGTCAGGAGTCCAAAAGGGTCCTGGTTTTGAAAGTGACCTGGTATGATACTGTCTAGTTTCAGCCAAAGTCAGTATGTGGGACCCTGTTGGTCAGGCAGTTCAGTAGAGGAGATGGGCTGAGTACCCCTCTGAGCTAGAAGAAAGTGTAGAGATTCAAAACCTGACAGGATGTCAGAGGTGTTAGGCATTGTTGCCTACCTCACTGGGAACATAAGCATTGGACTGAAGGCTTTTACTAATGAAGCCCTTTGCTAGTTTGTCTTAGGTTGCAGAAATATACTGTTACAGTTTTAGTGCTAATGTTTCTTCGATATTACTAAAATCCATTCTACTTGATGGGCTTCCTAACTTAGAAAGCTTTGGCTTGCTCTAAGCAGCCTGCTTGTTTGCATTTGAAGTTTCATACAAATCTGAGACCTATTTAATCTTTGGTTCACAGGCTGGCGCTCAATCCACTGAGCTACACCAGCCAGGGCCTACTATTTAATCTTAAGGTCCTGGCACCTTACCTGAAGGCTTTGGTATCATAATCAGATCCTGTGTTGCTGTAGTATAATTCCTTGTTCCCACTTCTACTAAAACCTTCTGGCTTGTTTTCTAATTAATAGGGAATGGTTTATTCCCCTTCCTAACAAGAATTTCTTTTAACAAAGTCTCTGGTTGCCGAGGAGGGCAGGGACCTAGGTTTGGACAATTTAGGAAAACTGTGCCTTAGAGAGTAGATCCAAAGATTGCCCATTTGTTGTGAATTTTGCCCCATTCTGAGACTTTGGAAAAGTAAGCAGAAGTGATTCCTGGTTAAACTTTTCCTACTTCTGGCCTCTTCTGTAAGCCTCCCTTTCTTTTCTCCAGGCCCTCATTTAAGGCTAGCTTTTCCTCTCTCTACTCTTAAAAAGAGAACCAGAGGGAATTAGTTTTTGCTGCTTCAGAGGGGTCATAGATTCAGTTAGGGTCTTCTACCCAAAGATGATAAAAAGTAGTAATAGGTAAAAGAATGGAACAGATGGTGATAATGGAGTGGAGCAGTGGGTCCTTCAGAAGTTTACTTTGTCACCTCTAACCTTACATAAAAGCACTCAGTCTCCCCACCCTATCCCCCACTCCAACCCCAGGATTCTCTTCTTAAAGCCAAATCATTCTTTCCTGACTCAACTCACTTTCCCCAAGTCCTTGACAGTGTGGATAGACTTTTTATGAACTTTTTCATCTCATTCTAGTAGCTGTTCTTACATTGGTCAGAAGTCTCTCCCCTCTAAACCTGATCAGTAAGTGTTCCTCTTCCAGTCTCAGCCATTATATACATAGTTGAGCATGAATAGTTCAAGTCTTTTTTACTAATTTAGTCTTTAAATAGTAAGTTCCTTTTAAAGGCATAAGTAGGCTTCCAATCCTTTCATCTAGAATCTGGTATACCCTTCCTTCCTATCCCCTAGTCTCTCCTAGCTGATCCAAGATCTAGGTGTGGTTAGCTGACATTCTCCCCATACCTGGAAACTAAAGGAGGGAGTCTATAAAAGATGTGGAGGGAGCTGGCTTCCTCAGCTGTAAATCTATACCTTTTTATGGTTTTCTAGGATCATTCTCTTGTTCTCCAAATTCATTCAGTTAAGAGTGTCCTTTCCCAACTCCCAGGAACTTCTGAAGATAAGGCTAGAAGTTTCTGTGGGGTGAGGGGTATAGGAAGGAAGATGTAAGAGCAGAACTTCTTGGTGTTGAGTCAAGTTGCCATGTAGGTACAAGAAATGAAAGGGGAGGAAGGAACTTAACTGGAGGAAGGAACTTAACTTTTTCCCTGTTCTCTGGGGACCTCCAACAGGCAGTGTCACTCACCTGCTTATTGAAATCCATCAGAAACTAACCTCTGCCTTTCTTGCTACATATCCACACTTGTTTTTAAACTCCAAAGGAATTATAGAATAATGGCATCTTCATACCTTTGTAGACTCTGAGTCCAGGGTGCTCCCACTTTTATTTTCCTTTCTCAGCTGTCCCTGCCATTAGCTTTTTCCACCTCTCAGATCACTATTAATACAATATATTACAGTGGAATATTGTGTAACTACTACTTAGGTGTGATTTCTAGCAACTCTTGAGAATTGCTGTATTACATACTTGGAACAATTTACTTACCGTAGTTTGCATAGTAATCATTTGATAAATATTAGCTCTTAATTTTACTAGGTGATTTACAGTTGGAAGACTTTCTTTTCCCCAAGTAGCTTCCAACTAGGGGTTAAGGGGTTGAATGAAATTAGTGCGTGTGCACATTACATGTGTAGGTACATTAGGAGGATGAGTGGGGGGAGGTGGAGGAGTCCTAATACTCGCTGGGGCAGGAAAACTGACATTGTCACCTGGGGCAGACTTCCCTGCTTCTGCCTCACTAGAGAACATGAGCTATAAATACCATTCGCTGCTGGTACTTAGCTTGGGGAACCCAGCATCCCCAAAATAGAGTATAAGATAGCTACTCATGCGTTGGGTTGGAGGATGTTTGGGGACAAAAGTCATCTTGCAGTTTCTCCTGGGTATCTTTTCAAAGTAGGAAGCAATGAGCAGTAGAGGAAAGAGCCTATTTTTAGCTCAGATAAAGCTAAAGTAGGTGTGAATAAAGCAGTTCCTTGGGAGGATACAGTATGCAGTACTTTTGTCCACCTCGATCTTGGTCTGAGGTGGCATCTATCTGTCAATAAAACTGACAAGACAGGGAAGGCTTGGCGGCACATCCAACCCCCAGTAGCCCTGTCCTCATTCTGGATCAGGTCGATGTTAATAGTAGCTTTTTAAATTTTTTAAAAAACATAATTTAGGCAAGATTCCTTTGGTACTCCCAACTCTTATGCCTTGGAAGTGTGCTATATATACATGGAAGGAATTTTTGAGACACTTAACCACTTTTGGTATACTGGCAAGGTGAGTGGCTTTGTTGGTTTATAGATATTGGTAAAACTTTGTTGAGAAAACCCAGGATCATGGAACTGCAGAGTAGGATAGACATGAGCTGGATCATGAGAACTTTTAGAGCTTTCTCTGGAAGCTAAGAGAGGGTTTTTGCAATCTTGGGGACTGTTTTGGATCAAGCTGTCTAGGGGAGTTCTAGGTCATGCAGACCTTGGGCTGCATGTCCCAGCCCTCATCCTGGCTGCCCCTAGTGTTCTTCCCTTTCCCAAAGACCGTGTGCCCGCCCTCCCCACCCTCACCCCATCTCAGATCCTCTTCTGTTCCTGGAGGTGTAAATTGTGGCACTTGGTTAGGGAGAAGAGCCCATCACTGAATTCTAAATTCTTTTGACTGCTTTTATTTTTCTCTTTTCAGGTTCAAGTGCTGGATTGTGTCATGTGACCACTCCAAAACTCAGAGCACCCTATGGCCATCTTTGCCCTCTGTCACATAACTTGAAAACTGCCTGATGGCCTTTTTGCAATGGTTCCCTCCAGGAATCCTTGATCTCAGTGAAAAAGTCCTTTCCCGGCATTCCAGTGCCCTTGTCAGCCCCATACTCCTCAGACACCCTTAACAAACAAAGGCAATCACGCACACAGTGTAACAAATACACAAAGTAAATCATAATTACACTAATTATGATCTGAGGGCACTGGCGAGGTCCACACACATCTTAAGGTGGTTTGGGGGTGGTGCTAGTTGCCACTAGGCCACTGGGTTGTGCCTCCAGGCCTCCTTGAGGGTGGGGAGGACCAGGAAAGGAGACTTCAACTCACAGATTTGTTTGAAAAAGACCCTCCCCCAAAGGTCTTTATTTGGTGGTATTAAAGGGGCATATTCTAAGTGTCCCCAAGTCTAATGCCCCAGCTCTCTAGAATTTGTAGAGGGAAGTTCCCTGGTGCCTATTGCCCAACCCCACCCTGTGCCAAGATCAAAAGACATCAGCAATTGACCTTGGGGAAAGCATGTTCTGTTCTTCACTTGTTCCTCTCCTTCCACCAAGAAAAGGTGAATGGTGTTGAAGGTTCTCCCAGATTGGGCCAGAAGGGTGAACAGGGTCAGAGAGGAAGCTGGGCGGGACAGGGGTTAGATAGCTGCTGTATGGGAGGAGGCAAGTTGAAATGCTTAATAGCCCCTGCCTATTCCTATACTGAAACATCTATCTCATCTCACTATGGGAATAAGATGCTAAAGCTCACCAACATCACCTTCCCAAGGGTGGTCACGTCCTTTGCCCCTTCCACTGGCTGGGCCAGGTGGGAGAGTCATGCTCTTGGGAAGAACAAGCCTTCCTAGTCAGCTCTCCAGCTCCGGCTTAACTTCAGTTCAGTACCATTTGTATCAGAACCATAACTGCTGGTTCTACTAAAGAGTAATGACTTTACTGAAGGTTCTTTCCCCCTCCTCTCCTGACCTAGGCCCTGGCCTAGAGCCGAGAGGTCTGGTGGTGAGGTATGGATAGGGTGTGATCAGGAGATTCTCAGCTCCTTGGCTTCAGGCACTGTCCAGCTGGGAGGCAGAGGGGAACTTGGACTCTGAAGCCTGCGACTCCTCTAAGCCTCACATCTCTTCACCACTGCTCTGGTGCCCTGGTTATCTGTCCCACAGCGAGAGGTATTTTATGTCCATAAAGTGCCCGTGGTAAGTGCTCAGAAT